TGTTGTACGCGGGCACCTGCAACAAACTCCTTAACCAGTGTGAGGAGAACCTGGCGCAGCGCATTGACATCACCATCAACCACAACGTCAAGCAGTTTTTGGGGTTGAACATCTCCTACGCGCCAGAAGCAATTCACCTGTCCGCCTCCAAGTACGCTGAGTAGCTGGGAGAACGCTTCAACATTTCGCCTGCACCACTCTCAACTCCTTACCGCAACCCCAGCGCTAACTACAAACCGGACAACAAACCTCTATCCCCCGCAGGACTCCAAATGTACCAGCAGCAACTGGGTTGCCTGCTGTTCGCCTCTGTCACATGCCAACCCGACCTTCCGTACATCGCCGGCCAACTGGCGCAGTATTCCCGCAAGCCAGTAGCTGAAAACCAGCTGGACTTGGAGCGCGCCCTGCAGTACCTGACATCGAGCTCTCCTACTCCACGCTGACGACAACCTTCTTCAACCTCAACGGCTACGTGAATGCAGATCACGCCGCTGATCCTGCAAATCGACGGTCCCGAACCGGCTTTGTTTTTCGCCTGGAACCAACTGGACCAATCTCCTGGAACTCGCAGAAGGAGGAGCTGGTTGCCCTGTCATCGGCTGAAGCAGAATATATTGTCGCGACAGCAACAGTTCGCAAAGGACTGTACCTGCAGGAACCGTTGCAGGAAGCGAAAATTCCAACTTCGCCCACCTTTCGCCTTCACTGCGACAACCAGAGCGCCATCAAGATCGCGAATTAGCCAGGTTTCGTGAACCGCACGAAGCACATTGCGCTTCGGTATTTTTTCGTCAAGGACGAAATTGACCATGGCAAGGTTGACCTCATGTACTGCCCCACCACTGAGATGGCAGCTGATTTCCTCACCAAACGACTGCCACGTCAGCAGTACAAACACTGCTCCGACCTCACCAGAGTAGTCAAGCGATTCAGCCCCCTGCGCGCCCAGGAATGAAGGGGAGTTTTACGATGTGAAGTTGTATGAGAAGGCATTCCTGTATGCTGCAGGAGCCGACTCTGCCGAGTACGAAGTCGACGAATCAGAAGAGTCGAAGCGACGCAGCAACCGTCTGACCAAGACTGATGCAGGCAGGGACATTTGAAATGAGAAGAGCGGGAACAGGTTTGAAACCGGTTCCCCCGCTGCACGATTTGAATTCGCTGTAATAAGGAAATGTACCCCTTAGAGTACATGGCTAGTCTAGGTCTCTTCGTATTCCCTTGTATTCCTATATAAACTCGATGTATGCATGCTGTTATTAACACAGTCATTTTACATTCACTCTGACCTGAGATTCAAACTTCCGCTGCAACACTACTCTGCGATCAACCCTGAGCGATCATTCGCTAAGTCCCACTTGGAATTGTAACAGATGGAAAGTGGGAGATGGGAAATGGGAGTTAGGAGCATGGGAGATGGGAGATGGAAACTGGGAGATGGGACATGGTAGATGGGAGATGGAAAGTGGGAGATTGGAGTTGGGAGATGGAAGATAGGAGAAAGAAAGTGGGAGATGGGAGATGGGAGTTGGGAGGATGGGAGATGGGAGATAGAAAGTAGGAGATGGGAGATGGGAGATAGGAGATGGAATATGGGAGATGAGAGATAGGAGATGCGAGATGGGAGATGGAAAGTGGGAGATGGGCGAGGGGAAATAGGAGGTTGGAGATGGAAAGTGGGAGATGGGAGATGGGAGGTGGAAGACAGGAGGTGGGAGATGGAAAGTGCGAGATGGGAGTTAGGAGATAGGAGAAAGGAGATGGGAGAAGGAAGATGGGAGATGGGAGTGGAGTTGGGAAATGAGAGATGGAAGGTAGGAGATGGGAGATGGAAAGTGGGAGATGGGAGATGGGGGATGGAGGATGGGAGATGGGAGATGGGGGATGGGAGATGTGAGATGGAAAGTGGGAGATGGAAAATGGGAGATGGGAGATGGAAAGTGGGAGATGCGAGATGGAAAATGGGAGATGGGAGATGGAAACTGGGAGATGGGAGATGGTAGATGGGAGATGGAAAGTGGTAGATAGGAGATGGAAGATAGATTGTGTGTGATAGGAGATAGGAGATGGGCTCACTGACCATGGTGAGTCGACTCGCTCTACACCGACCTTGTTTGCTGACAAGGCCATGATCCTCCTATAGGGAGAGCCTCGACTAGAGAGTAGAATGAAGTACATCGATGTGTCGTACTTTCTCCTTCGAGAGTTGCAGCGTCACGGCCAGACACATTTGGACTTCATGGTCTCAGCGGCCAACATTGCAAGTATCTTCACCAAGGCCCTTGCGCTTGGTGACCACCACATGTTCTGTCTGCAGTTAGGGTTTGTTGAAGCAGGTCCTCGGTTACTATAACTTTGCCTCTTGCTGCTTGTTCTGTTTGTGCTTGTATCTCTATATATATTTGTGGACACTTGAATTGGTCTTGTGGCCCCTTGCTTACGCTCAGACTGTGTGGTGACTTTGTGATCCACCTTGAGCTTTGTACTATTGCTTCTCTTGTCTAGTCTTGTGACCATTTGTGTTTCCTGTACTTTCTTATTATCTCTCACTTAGCCTGTGGGAGTGTGCCAAACTACATATTGTTGTTAGACTATAGTGAGGTTAGCCATAGGGAGTATAACATTTTAGGGTTAGCATTTGTACTCACTCACTTGCTACTCATCATCATTCCGCTCCGTATCTCAACACAACACAACACACAATGCACTTTTACATCATTAGCCATGCTACGACAAAAAAAATATTGCAGGATTACAGGCAGAGTCGTTTTTAGCGTGCTCAGCCAATATGAGCAAAATATATGTTTTCTTTACGACCCAATGATACAATAGCCTAAATATGTTCGGTAACATCTTGAAGTATGAGAAATAGCACTTTGAGTTAGAAGGGCGTGCATCAGGAGATGCGAGGTATTTCTATTGACGAGTACGGCGAAAAAACGCAAAACGCGAAGGTCGCTGTCGCGACTTGGCAAGGTGAGGCGACGTGCATTTGTACTTCGCGAAATCTGCTACAAGCCGCCCCCTCCGTTTCTTTCATTCGCAGCCTCCGGAAGTCCCGTCTTCCTGTCCCCTTCGCTTCGGAAAGCACACTCTCCCGTTTCGACCCCATCCCCCCTCCCCCCCCCCACTTGTACGCCACGCAGCAGCAGCAAGCAACGAGGAAAACTATGGGGCATAGCAGCGTCCCGAGACGCGCTTTCACCGTCACTTACGGTCGACCCAACACACCAACATCGCCATGTCATCCCTTGAAAATCGCGCCCGAAACCAGCACTGGTCAATTTCAGTCTGTTACAAATTTCAGCCCTGGTTCAGCCAGCTTCCGGTCACTTTCTCCTGGAATAGTTATATAAAGAATCCTCTCTTCTTCCCAAGCCTGCATCTCGCTGACGGCAGCTGGCGTAAGAACGCGCAGCAGCAGGACACCGATAGTTCCACTCGTAATCGTACCCCGGCACGACATGAAGCGACGCAGCAAGCTTGCAACTCCACAAGGGCCCCACGGTGAGACTAGTGCCACGGGCGACGCTAACTGCGTGGATGTGGCAACGCAGATGGCTGAGTGCTGCTTGGAGGAATTCAGGTCATCGCAGCCAATGCCACGCTCGAGTCAGTGCGCACAGCAGCGCCGTGTCTTGCCTATCTCCGCCCTTTACCTCGCGCCTCGCGTCTTCGGTGGTAATGACGCGTGGGGTGCTGCCGATAATGGTTCAGCCGCTGTTACGCCAAGTGAGCAGATCGTTGCGGCAAGCACGGCGCTGAAGCGCTCCGGCAAGGGTGGCGACGAAAGCGAGGAATGCGACGATAACAAGAAGTTCACCGACGAATCTGACGATAATGTGGGCGATTCGGACGACGAGGCGTCCGTGGCGTCCACTTTCTCGTGCCTATCCAGAAACACGTCAACTTCATCATTGTCCGATTCGATCGCACAGGCGGCTGGGGACAAGCAGTGTGCTACTGACGACTGTGACACGGAAGTTCGTTTGCCCGACGACCTCTACCCGAAGGAAGCGCGTATAGCATTTTCGGATCAAGACAGCACGCAGCGGGCGACGGGGGCGACCAGCGGGTTCCACCAGCTGCAGCCGCCGCAGGCGAGGCTCGTGCTGCGAGAGTCGTGCATGCAACGGATCTATGTGCAGCAGGCGATGTTCGTCGAGCACCAGCGAAGGATGCAATGGCTACAGCAGCAGCACATGCAGCAACAGCACTTCCAGAGCGGTATGGCGGGGTGGCAGTCAGCAGGAACGCCTCGGCGAGCTTTCGTTCCCCCACGCCTCCGTCGGCCTCAAGCCTATTGTGGCACGGGAGTGTTCCTGCTTGGAACCGCCAATGGTTGCTGCTGACGACTATGGACTCCCTACCGAACCCTAAAAGCGGGATGACATACAGGCTAGGACTACCAGTATGTTCAAATAAAAAGCCAGAGGAGTCTGTGCTGTGGTGTGGCAGTTGCCTTGCCTCCGCACGCTGATGGGAGCACCCACGCCACATCATATTGCGTTGTACATAGGGTCTCCCCAATGTACATAGTGCATACCATCATGTTCTTGGAATGTCAGTAGATAATCTGCCATTATCCAGCTGGTAATCCGTAAGCAAGTTTCCGGCATTCGGGATGTATAGTACGATTAAAAAGGGGGTGAAATCATTGCACATGGTACAACTGAAATAATCAGGAAGTTCCAGCAATCAGCATTGCGAACGTCTTGCACAGTAGTTATAGGTAGCAGTCATGAATGATTGGTCATCATAAAGCATCGGATGCAATGAGGACGAGCAGGGCAGTCCATCCGGTAAATGGATGTGCTCCCTTGCCTTTGCCATCCGCTGTGTTGTCGTACTGCTCCCAGAAATACCCACTCTCCTCGTACCGTTCCACAATGTTCCTGCCAGCCAGCAAATGGTGGTGCACGGCACGGTGAAGAGCACGGAGAATCAAGGAAAACCCCAAGAGCTTGATAGCTAGTGAAGGCAGTGGGTGGCATTACCTGACGAGGTTGAAGCGCAGCTCCCGGTACAGCTCTGCTGCCCTGCCCCTGTGTGGCCCTGCCTCTGCGGGTGAGTGGGGAAGGGAAGCATGGGTGACGAGGGAGGAAAGACCGGGTCACGAGGGAACGAAGAAGGTCACGAGGGAAGGACTACTGGTTTGCGAAAGAAGCATGCATATGCGGACGTGTGTGCACATGTGCATGCATGTGTGTGTGTGTGTGTGTGTGTGTGTGTGTGTGTGTGTGTGTGTGTGTGTGTGTGTGTACAAATGCAGACATGTATGCGTGAGTGTGTGCACACGCCCGTGCACGTGTGTGTGTGTGTGTGTGTGCGTGTGTGTGTGTGTCGCGCGTGCACGTGCGCACACATGTATGTGTGTTCAGGCTCACGGCAATGCATGAGTCTGCAGGGTTCCATATATACGTGTACGCATGCACTAGAAATGGAAGGAGGGAGAGGACGGACAACGGTATGCCATGAGAGTCAGAGAGAGATCAGAACCCATCTGATTCAGGATGACGATTCACAGAAGAACCTTGCACAGGGCAAGGTTAGGACTGATGATCGCACTCCTGAGGTCAGCAGCACGGCACACGAGGGCGCGAGCACAAGAGAGCAAGGGAGGTGGTGGCCCACCCCGGGGGGTGAGGGCGTACGGGTGGAGTAGAAGCGCAGGGCGGAGAGTGCAAGGTAGTTGATGTTGATCCACACGGGCCCCCGCCAGTACGGCGGGTCGTGCTCCGTGTTGCGCCGCATGTACAGCGCGCTGGGGGAGGGGCGCACGTGCACAGCAGCAGTGGAAGGTTGCGCGGAGACAAGGAGCTGAGCATGGTTGCTGGTGCAGCGAGCATGAGCACGAGCATGGGCATTGACGAGAGCATGGCATGGCATGGGCATGGGAATGGGTATGAACATGGACATGGACATGGACATGGGCATGGGCATGGAAATGGGCATGGGCAAAGGCATGGGCGTGCGCATGAGCATGAGGAGGCGAACTCGTACAATCACATCGATGCTGATACCCGCGCCGAGCTGAAAGATTTGCGCACCGTGGTGCAGCGTATTGAAACACGTCTTCGTATTTCCGATGAGATCCATCAAACGTTGGCTTCAACGACCAAGAGTCTGCTTGAAGCCGTACACCAACCGAGCTGGTGTAACGAGAAAACCATGGAGGTGTGTTCCTTTTGTGTAAGATTATCCGTTTTTCCAGAACTTTACTAATCGTGTTTTGTCCGTGTGTACTCGCAGGAGGCAATGAAGAAGGCGTGTGATGACCTGCTGAAGGGTCCAGACGTCGAAAAGCGCGTCATCTATCCCGAGGAGGAGCTGTTTAAGGATGCCGTCATCAATCACATCACTTTGGAGCCTGACGACCTTGGCAAGTTCAACGACTACTGGAAAAAGGGTGAATGGACTAAAAAATGCATTGAAGCTTGCAACAGCCGCCAAGGGAAGGTAGGTTTCAATTCATGGAACGCATCCTTCGCGCTACTCACGGACCCCGAGGGTGAGGAGGTTCAAGACGACGTCTAGGCATGGGCGTGGGCATGTGCATGGGCATGTCCATAGGCATGAGCAAGAGCAGCAGCACCATGGCCGTGGGCATGGGCTGCGGCATGGGCATACAATCTCCCCACCTGTCATCTCCCCACGCCCATGTGTGGAGTGGCACCTGGTGGTGGCGAGGGAGTGTGTCACCTGGTGGTGGCGAGGGAGTGTGTCACCTGGTGGTGGCGAGGGAGTGTGTCACCTGGTGGTGGCGAGGGAGTGTGTCACCTGGTGGTCGCGAGGGAGTGTGTCACCTGGTGGTGGCGAGGGAGTGTGTCACCTGGTGGTGGCGAGGGAGTGTGTCACCTGGTGGTGGCGAGGGAGTGTGTCACCTGGTGGTGGCGAGGGAGTGTGTCACCTGGTGGTGGCGAGGGAGTGTGTCACCTGGTGGTGGCGAGGGAGTGTGTCACCTGGTGGTGGCGAGGGAGTGTGTCACCTGGTGGTGGCGAGGGAGTGTGTCACCTGGTGGTGGCGAGGGAGTGTGTCACCTGGTGGTGGCGAGGGAGTGTGTCACCTGGTGGCGGCGAGGGAGTGTGTCACCTGGTGGTGGCGAGGGAGTGTGGCACCTGGTGGTGGCGAGGGATCGCAGGCCGAAGGGCGTCCAGAGCAGCTTCTCCTCGCGCAGCGCCTCCAGCTGCTGCCCCAACTCACTCGCGTGCTGCCCATGCCATGGGGGACGGGAGCGGACAGGCAGAGATGGGGCACCGAGATAACACAGCACGAGAGGACGGGCGAGAAAAGGGCAATGGGCGTGGAGGGGAAATAGGTTGGAGTGGCAGGGTGGACGGAATGAAAAGGAGCGGAACGGAACAAACAGCTTACAGGCGGAATCAAGCGCAGCAGCAGTGGGAAGAGTGAGACGTATCCAAAGTGTGGCACGAATCGCAGTGTGGGAGAGCCCTTGACCACGCGGCGCTGCTCCCGTCGCACGCTGTACGTGACGGGGTCCACCGCCTCCACCGCCTCCAACCGCACCTGGTGCCCCCGGGGCACACAACACGGCGCACAGCACGGCACCAAGCAGGGCAGGGGCAGGGCAGCGGGCAGGGCGGCAGGCAGGGCGTGTGGATATGGATGTGGGGAGATGGACACCTCTTGACCTCCTTTCACCTCCCCTCCGCTCCTCTCACCATTCAACGCAGCCTTCCCATGCATCACCCCTCTGCGCCCATACACCACCCCTCTGCGCCCATACACCACCCCTCTGCGCCCATACACCACCCCTCTGCGCCCATGCATCACCCCTCTGCGCCCATACACCACCCCTCTGCGCCCATACACCACCCCTCTGCGCCCATGCACCGCCCCTCTGTGCCCATGCACCGCCCCTCTGCGCCCATGCACCGCCCCTCTGCGCCCATGCACCGCCCCTCTGCGCCCATGCACCACCCCTCTGCGCCCATGCACCGCCCCTCTGCGCCCATGCACCACCCCTCTGCGCCCATGCACCGCCCCTCTGCGCCCATGCACCGCCCCTCTGCGCCCATGCGTCCCCCCGCTGACCTTGTCGGTGTGGTTGCCGTAGTCGGCGTAGCGCTGCCTCCTGCCGTCCCAGTGCAGCTGGTGCCGTGGGCAGGGCGATTGCCCATCAGGAGGGGGGGGACACGAACATGGGACGGAGAAGTGAGGGAGACGAAGAGAAGGAGGGTGGATGGGCGAGGGGCGGAAGGGAACGAGAAGAGTGTGGGTGGGGGAGAGATAGTGGGGTGCAGAGTGGGGAGGGTGTTGGGCAGCCAGCTTCTGATTACACCAGCTGGCGTCGCTTCCCTCCAGCCCCCATCCTTACACTGAACCCTTACCCACCCCTTGTGAGTGCCTCACATGAAAATCTGCCATCCCCTGTACCTGCCAGCCATGGTCACTCATGCATGCCCCTCCCACTGCAACTGGCTGCTCTCACCGCCCACCCATCTACCCTTCCACCCATCCACCAATGCATCCACTCCACCCACCCGCCCACTGCCCACCCAAGGGGCGTGGGTGCAAGAGGCATGAGCGCGAGGGGAGGGGTACCTCATTGAGGCGTGTGAAGTCCGTGAGCTGCTGGGCTGTGGCCTCATATTCCTGCATTCATGCGGTCACACAAGCATGCACTCATACACGCACACATGCACACATGCACGCACTCATACACGCAAATATCCACACACACACGCACTCATGCATGCACCCATGCACGCACAAAACACACATGCACAGTTGCAGCAAATGCAAGGAGTGGGAGTGAGGTTACTGCAGCGCAGAGGCTGAATAAAGAGAACAGGCCACGTTGCTGCATGCGGCCAACAGGCAGCCACATTGCTGCTGTGAGGAGACAAGCTCGGCGAGATGGCAGCCCACAATCTCTCTCGCACACGCCCCCTCTCACCTGCACGGCCTCTCGTCTCACCTGCACGTCCTCCCCAACCACGCTGCCTATCTTGGCGATGGCAGCAGCAGCGGTGGCGAGCCAGCAGCGCAGGTCCACATGGCGCTCGTCCTCCGACGGGTGCGACGCACGTGGGTAGTCGTCCAGCCCCGACTGCAACGTCTGGTGCCAGAGGGGGGGAGGGGGAGGACCGGGGGGACAAGGGCGGGGAGGGAGGGGGACAAAGGGCAAGGCGATGGAAGTGGCTGGGGTGAATGGATGGGTTGGAGTGGGGCGACATGCCGGCAGGGACGTACGGCAGGGCGGGGGGACAGTAAGGGAGCCAGACGAGTGGTGCAGCATTAAGGAAAGGGAACAAGAGATGACAACAAAAATAACCAGCAAGGAGAGCAGCAAGGAGGGCAGGAAGGAGGGCGGGGTGGGACTGGCCTTGGGGTTGAGCTCGCGCACAGTGCTGGCATCCCGCCCCCGCCAGTAGTAGCTTCCAGGCAGCTTCCCTGATCAAAGGCAGAGGAGGAAACAAGGAGGGTGGTGCATGAGAGAGCACAGCTGGCACCTCAACTTTCTTGCAGTGCCGCATGCCACCCACTCACCAACACCTTGGCAGCATGAAGTGCGGCTCACATGCTGTGAGGAGGGGCACTGCTCACATGAAGGGGGGGGCAGGGCAATGGAGCAATGGTGGTGGTGAGGGACCAAGACCCATGTGGGAGGAACCCCCTTCCTCTCACGGCAGCATCCCAGTGTGCCCTTGCATGCCATGCCCGCATTCCACCATCCCAGTGTGCCCTTGCATGCCATGCCCGCATTCCACCATCCCAGTGTGCCCTTGCATGTCATAGTGGTGCCCCTCTCATAGTGGTGCCCCTCTCATAGTGGTGCCCCTCTCATAGTGGTGCCCCTCTCATAGTGGTGCCCCTCTCATAGTGGTGCCCCTCTCATAGTGGTGCCCCTCTCATAGTGGTGCCCCTCTCATAGTGGTGCCCCTCTCATAGTGGTGCCCCTCTCATAGTGGTGCCCCTCTCATAGTGGTGCCCCTCTCATAGTGGTGCCCCTCTCATAGTGGTGCCCCTCTCATAGTGGTGCCCCTCTCATAGTGGTGCCCCTCTCATAGTGGTGCCCCTCTCATAGTGGTGCCCCTCTCATAGTGGTGCCCCTCTCATAGTGGTGCCCCTCTCATAGTGGTGCCCCTCTCATAGTGGTGCCCCTCTCATAGTGGTGCCCCTCTCATAGTGGTGCCCCTCTCATAGTGGTGCCCCTCTCATAGTGGTGCCCCTCTCATAGTGGTGCCCCTCTCATAGTGGTGCCCCTCTCATAGTGGTGCCCCTCTCATAGTGGTGCCCCTCTCATAGTGGTGCCCCTCTCATAGTGGTGCCCCTCTCATAGTGGTGCCCCTCTCATAGTGGTGCCCCTCTCATAGTGGTGCCCCTCTCATAGTGGTGCCCCTCTCATAGTGGTGCCCCTCTCATAGTGGTGCCCCTCTCATAGTGGTGCCCCTCTCATAGTGGTGCCCCTCTCATAGTGGTGCCCCTCTCATAGTGGTGCCCCTCTCATAGTGGTGCCCCTCCCTCTCACAGCGCTGCCCCTCTCATAGTGGAGCCCCTCTCACAGCGCTGCCCCTCTCATAGTGGTGCCCCTCTCACAGCGCTGCCCCTCTCCGCTTCCACCCACACATGTCCATTCGCAAGGTGCGGCGCAGCAAAGTGGAGTGAAGAGGTGTGCCTATGTGCCACCCCACACACTGCTTCCCACATGCGCTCTGCTTTTCACATCCACCCAGCAGTGAGCAGCCCCCCCTGCCACACGCACCAGCCTGCGAGGAGTTGAACCAGCGGAACCACGCCTTGAGGCGCGGCAGGCACGCTCGCAGGAACGACACCCGCTCACACCCCTCCGCCTCCCCACCTCCTGCCTCCACTCCCTCCCCCGCCCCCTCCTTCGGCACAAACGACCCGTTCGGCAGCCGCTGACACTTGGCAGCACTTCGAGTTGCCAGATCAGCAATTTCTGTTAAAAAAGGGGTGATAAGGCAACTAACAATTCGACCAGCATCCAGCGGTTGTGCATCCACTGCGGCACATTGAAAGTCAATTACAAATACAAGCTATGTAGGTGGTGAAAGTCAAGAGCTGCAGGTAGACATGGATAGCATACGACAGTCAGACATGGATAGCATACGACAGTCAGACAGCAACAGAATCCACAGAGGGGATGGGCCAGTGGTCGGTGGGTAAGAGTGAGAAGCAGAGAGAGGGTGAGATGCAGTGAGAATGCACACCGGTGAGAGGCAGGAAGAGCGTGGGCGGGTTGCCGTTGCTCACATGCTGCTGTATGAACTCCTCCGGTACCTTGCTGCCCTTGCCACACGGGGGGATGGGGAGGTGGGGGAAAGGTGGGGGTTCACATGCAGAGGGAAAGGAAGAAGGTGCGAGCAAAGGAAGAAGGTGCGAGCAAAGGAAGAAAGTGCGAGCAAAGGAAGAAGGTGCGAGCAAAGGAAGAAGGTGCGAGCAAAGGAAGAAGGTGCGAGCAAAGGAAGAAGGTGCGAGCAAAGGAAGAAGGTGCGAGCAAAGGAAGAAGGTGCGAGCAAAGGAAGAAGGTGCGAGCAAAGGAAGAAGGTGCGAGCAAAGGAAGAAGGTGCGAGCAAAGGAAGAAGGTGCGAGCAAAGGAAGAAGGTGCGAGCAAAGGAAGAAGGTGCGAGCAAAGGAAGAAGGTGCGAGCAAAGGAAGAAGGTGCGAGCAAAGGAAGAAGGTGCGAGCAAAGGAAGAAGGTGCGAGCAAAGGAAGAAGGTGCGAGCAAAGGAAGAAGGTGCGAGCAAAGGAAGAAGGTGCGAGCAAAGGAAGAAGGTGCGAGCAAAGGAAGAAGGTGCGAGCAAAGGAAGAAGGTGCGAGCAAAGGAAGAAGGTGCGAGCAAAGGAAGAAGGTGCGAGCAAAGGAAGAAGGTGCGAGCAAAGGAAGAAGGTGCGAGCAAAGGAAGAAGGTGCGAGCAAAGGAAGAAGGTGCGAGCAAAGGAAGAAGGTGCGAGCAAAGGAAGAAGGTGCGAGCAAAGGAAGAAGGTGCGAGCAAAGGAAGAAGGTGCGAGCAAAGGAAGAAGGTGCGAGCAAAGGAAGAAGGTGCGAGCAAAGGAAGAAGGTGCGAGCAAAGGAAGAAGGTGCGAGCAAAGGAAGAAGGTGCGAGCAAAGGAAGAAGGTGCGAGCAAAGGAAGAAGGTGCGAGCAAAGGAAGAAGGTGCGAGCAAAGGAAGAAGGTGCGAGCAAAGGAAGAAGGTGCGAGAAGAAGGTGCGAGCAAAGGAAGAAGGTGCGAGCAAAGGAAGAAGGTGCGAGCAAAGGAAGAAGGTGCGAGCAAAGGAAGAAGGTGCGAGCAAAGGAAGAAGGTGCGAGCAAAGGAAGAAGGTGCGAGCAAAGGAAGAAGGTGCGAGCAAAGGAAGAAGGTGCGAGCAAAGGAAGAAGGTGCGAGCAAAGGAAGAAGGTGCGAGCAAAGGAAGAAGGTGCGAGCAAAGGAAGAAGGTGCGAGCAAAGGAAGAAGGTGCGAGCAAAGGAAGAAGGTGCGAGCAAAGGAAGAAGGTGCGAGCAAAGGAAGAAGGTGCGAGCAAAGGAAGAAGGTGCGAGCAAAGGAAGAAGGTGCGAGCAAAGGAAGAAGGTGCGAGCAAAGGAAGAAGGTGCGAGCAAAGGAAGAAGGTGCGAGCAAAGGAAGAAGGTGCGAGCAAAGGAAGAAGGTGCGAGCAAAGGAAGAAGGTGCGAGCAAAGGAAGAAGGTGCGAGCAAAGGAAGAAGGTGCGAGCAAAGGAAGAAGGTGCGAGCAAAGGAAGAAGGTGCGAGCAAAGGAAGAAGGTGCGCGCAAAGGAAGAAGGTGTAGGCAGAAGTGAGGAGGTCATCAGCCACACCTTCATGTCACGACATGCAGACAGAGGCAACACACAGCACTGCACATTCACAGTATGAAGCATCCAGAGCTAAGAGCGCAAGCATGAGCAGCAAGGAGCACAAAAGGCAGGGAGTGAGCAGCAGTGGCGATGCGTCCCCACGCCCCCCTCACCTGCGCGCCTCATCCCCACAGCCCCCTCACCTGCGCGCCTCATCCCCACAGCCCCCTCACCTGCGCGCCTCATCCCCCAGGATCTGCTCGCGGGGGATCCAGCCATCCGCGTTGAGCAGGTCCAACCAGTGCCCCACTGCGTCCATTGCCATGCCCTCGTCCCACCGCCTGCCCCCATGCCATGCCATGCCATGCCATGACATTGCGCCATCATGCCACCATGCCATCATGCCATGCCATACCATCACGCCTTGCCATGTCATGCCATCACGCCATACCAGTCATGCTATCACGCCATGCCATGTCATGCCATCACGCCGTGCCATGTCATGCCATCACGCCGTGCCATGTCATGCCATCACGCCGTGCCATGTCATGCCATCACGCCGTCCCATGCCATGCCATGCCATCACGCCGTGCCATGTCATGCACACGCGGGGGGGACGGGAGACGCTGCACGGTGAGTCTTGTGCCACTTGTGTGGTCACGAGATGTGTGGGCATGGCCACACATGCACCTGCCACCTCAAAGCGATTTGGAGGAATCACCCAGGCATCACCAGAGGGTCACCTGAGGGTCACCAGAGGGTCACCTGAGGGTCACCTGAGGGTCACCGGAGGGTCACCTGAGCACGAGCTGATGAAAGCCCTCATCCCAGAGGAAGCCCCGCGGGAACATGGGGCGGCTGGGCGTGGCGGTGAACAGTGCCGCCGCCCAGTACTGCCAGTAGGCCGCTGGGTCGCTGGGGTCCTGGTGTGCATGAGGGGTTGTGGCGATTGGGGGAAAGAATGAGGGGACCTTGAGCAAGGAGGCATGAGCAGCGCACATGCATGAGCGGAGCATGTGCACGGGCAGTGGTGGCCAAGCCTTAAGGGACAAGCAGGCGAATGAAGATGAACGGATGAGGGGAAGAGATGAAGTGTGTGAACCACTGGAGGCGTGTTGGCAAGCACCTTGAGATGGGGAGGAATGGCGATGCGTGAGCGGCCATAGAAGTACCCCATGCCCCCGATGAGGTTGCTCAGCGCTGCCTTCACTGCGTCGCCCACTCCAGGGATCTTCTCTGCCAGCTGCATGCACGTGCAGGCAGGGGGACGGGGTGTGGCGAGGGGCACGCAGAGTGGCAGGCAGAGTGGCAGAGAGGAGTGCCATGAGCGCACAGGGCCACAGGTGATGCCTTATACTTCCACACCCACTCACACCACCACCATGCGCCATCACTCCAGTCCCCCCTGTGCCTCCACACCAGAAAACGACCGCTGACCTCGCACAACCACCCCACTGCCTCATGCCCCTGTACCCCTCTTCCCACACCCTTTCCTCTCCCTTCCCAACCCCCACTGCCCCTCACCTCGGGGGCGACAGGAAAGGAAGCTTCCATGCGGCGCTCCACTGCCGCATCTGCCTCCCCCATGCGTCGCGCCAATGAAGGGCCTGGTGGCAGCGGCAGGAAGGCAGGGGCGGAGAGGGGGGGCAGGAGTGGGGGCGGGTGTGCAAGCGCGTGTGTGTGTGCTACTCAGCGATCCCGTTTGAAGAGAAGGAGCATGAGAGAGAGTGGCACCTGAGAGGAGGTTGAGGCGTGTGGCAGCTTGTTGCGAGGGCGAGTGGTGGGAGGAGGCAGCGGGGAGGCCGGAGAGGAAGACAAAGTCCACCACTGCTGGCAGCCACACCGTCAGCTGTGGGGCGGGGCGTGTGAGCGGTGGCGGGGAGATGGCGAGGGAGAGAAGGTGAGAGGCGATAGAAAGGGGGTGGGAGTCGAGAAAGAGGCGATGGATGGGTGGTGCGAGAAGCACACGATGCGACGACAAGGAGAAAGAGAGCAAAAACATGCGCAAGGCTGAGGAGCAGAAGCAGAGGCGAGCAGATGTGATGCGGTAGAGTGCGGCGGTGGTGCACAAGTAGACGGTGCAGCTTCTTTGCCCTTAAAAAGCAAGACATATGAAGCAGCGTTGGCATCCCTGTTGCACCTGGATGATTGCCACGTTGGCGCCCGCCTGAGCCTTGTTGCCCAGCGTCGCCTGCTGCGTGGCTTGGTACTGCCGGAGGGGGGGGGGGGGGTGTGGGGAAGTATGCAAGGGTGGAGGAGGGGGTGTGAGGAGCTAGAGCAGGAGAGTGAATGGTAGAGGAGGTGACGGAGAAAGGACAAGTTGGGATGCTCACATGCGAGCACGCACAGGTGTGGTGCATGTGGGCGCATGCATGGAGCCGGGCGGCGGGCGGCATGGAGATGATGGCAGGTGGGGGATGGAAGCACGTACATGGCGGATGAGGGCGGCCTTCACAGCGTCTGACAGGTTGTGCATGTGCCGAGTGTGCATCGCCTCAAACGTCGCCCCCGGCCCCTCCGCCTGCTGCTTGCAGATGGGAGAGGGGGGGGCATGGGGGGCCAGGGAAGAGGTTTGGGTTGAGAGGCAGCAGTGGGAAGCGTGAGTGCAACACACACAATGCCCAGGGTGCACAGGTGGCATACCTGCGTGACGGCATGCAGCTCCCAGCGCCCAAACACATCCGACACCCCCCCCGCCACCACCGCTGCCCGCTGCCCCCCTCGCCCCTCTGCCTGCACCTCCCCAGCCCCCTCGCCCATCAGCCTCCTCCCCTTCTTTCCCCCCCTCTCAACCCCTCGCTCCGCCACACCCCTTCCCACCCCACTGCCCTCCACACTCCTCAACCTTCTCCTCCCCACCCCCACCTCCCCCTCATCCTCCTCCTCCTCCTCTTCCTCCTCGTCCTCAAAACCACCTCGCACCCACTCCTCGTCACCCTCCGCCCCCCCTCGCCCCGCACTGCCACTCTCACCCTCTCTCCCACCCCCCCCAGCAGCAGCGGCGGGGTGCAGCACGAGGCGGGCCACCTCGGGGGGCGACGGCACTGCCAGCAGCGGCGCGCCCGCCTCGTCCGCCACGTAGAAGAAGAAGGTGCTGGGGGGGGGGAGGAGGAGGAGGAGGAGGGTAGAGGGGGGAGCAAGAGGAAGAGCCAGAGGGGACGAGAGAGGGATTGGGAAGAAGAGAAGTGGTGAGAACCCAAACTGGTGTGTGGGGTGGAGGTGGGGGAGAGAGAAGGAAGTGGGAGCAGGCCTCAACGTGGCAATAACTATTGTTGACTCACAAGGGCAGTGACAGGAGTTGACTCACAAGGGCATTGACTGGGCGTTGACTGTGCCGCCCACCCTCTCACGGTTGAGGTCAACGGCCACGCGCACGGCCCAGTCACCACCGTACCCCGTGCTGCCGTTGAGAGACTTGAGGAACGCCATGCTCAGGTCGAACGGACCGTCCTTCACCTCCTGTGATGTCAGTGCGAGTGCAGAGGGGATTTGGCTTACAACGATCGCCCTCACTCTTGCACAACCTTTTTGCTCCTTGGATGTGCATGCGCCGAATGCAACAGCACTTGAGTTATGGCAACTTGAGAGGAACCTGCTCCTGCAAAGTGCTCTGCCCATCCTTTCCTCTATCCATGCCAATCCCATGGCCCTTCACTCAACCCTGAGGCCCTTCACTCAACTCTGATGCCCTTCGCCCACTCCCACTCTCTCCCTCCCCTCTCAACGTTTCTCCTTCCCTTGTTACCTCCCCGTACCTGGCGCGCGTAGCGGCGGGCGTCGTGGCGCATCCAGGAGTAGGAGTGCAAGACGGGGTCGTGCTGCTCACACACGTGGCGGATCACAAAGTCGTCCTGCCTCGGCGCCCACCACATCACGCCCGCCACCACCGACTGGGGCAGGCTGGGAGGGGGGGGATGGAAAGACAGAGACCAAGGGCACGACAATCGAGGGAAATGAGGAGCAGGACATGGAGGCAGCATGGGCAGGACATGGAGGCATCATGGGCAGGACATGGAGGCAGCATGGGCAGGACATGGAGGCATCATGGGCAGGACATGGAGGCATCATGGGCAGGACATGGAGGCAGCATGGGCAGGACATGGAGGCAGCATGGGCAGGACATGGAGGCATCATGGGCAGGACATGGAGGCAGCATGGGCAGGACATGGAGGCATCATGGGCAGGACATGGAGGCATCATGGGCAGGACTCAGGAGTGGAGGAGGAGAGGCGTGTGCAATGAAGGAATGCGAGGAAGGGGAGGAGGGGAGTGGAGCGAGTGAGTGAGGAAGTGTGGAGAAGAGGTGCAGCAATGAGTGGTCGCCACCGCACGCAGTGGCGGCACAGCGAGCTCCGTGGCAAGCACAAACCACCACCTCCTCCCCTGCCGCCTGCACTGCACTGCTGCCACGCACGCACCCTCCACCCTCAGTGCCGCCCCCTCTCGAGCCACAGCACAGCGCAGCACAGCACAGCACAGCACAGCACAGCACAGCACAGCACAGCACAGCACAGCACAGCAGAGCAGAGCAGAGCAGAGCACGGCACGGCACGGCACGGCACGGCACGGCACGGCACGGCACGGCACGGCACAGCACCGCACGGCACGGCACGGCACAGCACAGCACAGCACGGCACGGCACGGCACAGCACAGCACAGAGCAGAGCAGAACAGCGTACCGTGGGCGAATGCCGAGGTAGAGTTGCGGGCGGTACGTTCCCCACAGCATCTCCTCCGCATACCCGCCCTTGAACTGCCGCATGCATGCCATGCCATGCCATGCCATCCCATGCCATGCCATACCATGCCATGGCATGGCAGCACATGATGGGAGGGAAGGGGTCACGCTACATCTTCCAATGCATCTAAGCCGAATGCCAACATGATGATGCCAACATGATGATGCCAACATGATGATGCACCCACTAGATGCCACCGCAGAGCCAAAGCATCTCATGCACCATGTGCAACGTTCACCAAGCACCCATGCACACTGCTATAAAGCGCTTCCAACGGCCGTTTGCGCGGGAAGGAGCAACGTCCTTGGTGGTGAGGCACATCGCTTCCACTCCTTCAAGGAGCAAGTTGCGCCGCTGCTGCTCCTCGCATGCCACATGCCACATGCCACATGCCCATGCTTCCCACAAATTGAGTTGCCAGGATAACCAACCCTTGCCCCTCCGACCGCCACCACCTCACCATGGGGAGATCCGCCACGCGCGGCGCGTTGAGCGGCGTGAGATGGCGCTGCTTCTCGGAGGGCCCGAAGAGCGCCTCGCCCCACGTCAGCACGACGATCACCGCCGCCGCGCATCCCGCAGCCAGCACCAGCGCAAGAACCGCCGCATTCCACGCCAGGTTTGTCGGGGCAGCCTTCCCCCGGTGCGGGAGGTGCGCCGCCCTGTGCGCCTGTGCGCGCTTGCCCGCCGCGCCGCCGTCAGCGCGCGGGGAGGAAGGCGCGTCCACTCCGCTCCCACCCCCGCGTCGCCGCGAGGGAGGAGGCATTGTGGGGAAGCGCAGTAACACTAGGAGCGAGCTGTTGGTGGGGCGCACGGTCGTATGCTATATGCGACGGCGACTGGGATGTGATGGCGAGAAATGGTGGGCTTTGTTATGCTCAAATTCGTGCCTGGATGCATTAGATCGTGATGGTAAATTTGTTCGCTTTGACTAGTTACGAGTGCAACTGAGCGAGCGAGCGAGAATTGCACTATCAAAGCAAAACAATACAGTTGAGCCGCAAGGAAAACTCCTTTTCCTTACTTCGCGTCCCTGCTTACCGCGTACGTGCCTGTTCCCGCCATCGGCACCCATCCGTGAACGTTACCCGCTCGCGACATTCGCCTCGACCACGACTCCCGCCACAGTTCACGATGCGACCCAACCTAACGGTTCGGTTGGTAACCCGCGCTCCGGACCTCCGCCTCGACAACTTCCCAAACCTTGGCGCTAGGCCCGTAGCGCACCCCAATTTCCCACACTACCGTTACCATGCTAGTTTCGCTATATAACTTCGCTCATGCTTTTCGCTCAACTGTATTGTTTTGCTTCGATAGTGCAATTCTCGCTCGCTCGCTCCATTGCACTCGTAACACTTGGTATCCAGAGCCTACGATCTCCTCTCGGACCGCACCCACACCTTCGCTTCCCCACTATCTCAATTTGGGGGGGGGGGTAGACGTCTCTCAGCGAACAAGCACCGCCGCTCGAAGTGCTCTCTCGTAAGCACACACGGCCACGACAGAGGCTCTCGCTGACTTTGCCTGACACCCCCGCCATGGCCGAAATTAATCTTGCGACACTGACGCAAGAGCAGCTCGACCGTCTCGTGCGCCAACTCGAAGATTCGGCGCTCGAAATCGCGACACTCACGGCGGAACGTGACTCCGCCCGCCAGCAATCAACGGTGAATGCGCCAGCACCATCACAAGCACCCGCCAATGCACCTGTGCAATCAGATGAGCCGATTGTCATCTCGTCTGGCACACCGTCACATCACGACAGCGTGGGACAGCGCTCAGGCGCAGCCAGTGATGGCGCCGCCCAGTCAATGCCTGGCATGGGGAGGAACAGGATACCAAGCACGAGCGGGCCTCGTGAAGCCCATCGTCACGTTGAATTTGCGGCAACAATCGGCAACAACGACATTGTCGCGCCGATGCCGCTCAAACCGCAGCGCCCGCCCTGCTTCGACCCGAGCCAACGAGGAGGTCCGACGGTTCAATCGTGGGTCTTCACGATGAACGTTTTCTTCGACGCGAATTACGTCGAGTCGGACGCAGCGAATATTCAATACGCTATTTCGCTGCTAAGGGGCCCCGCCATGGACTGGTGGCGAGTCATTGAGACGTCGCCACGCGCCTACGAGCCTCCGTCGCAAGAGGAAGAGCCCACGGGTCCAGCCGTCACCTGGAGTTCGTTCTGCGAAACCGCCCAGTACAGCACGTGGGATGCGTGGTGCGCAGGGCTTCGAGCGCGCTTCGAGCCGATTGCGGCTTCTATTTCGGCGCGTCAGAAACTGCGTACTTGGCGACAACTTGGGTCGGTCCAAGACTACACCAGCGGTTTTCTCGCATTATGCGAGCAAGTCGGCTACATGCACGAAGCGGAGGGGGTGGACCGTTACGTCGGAGGGCTGAAGCCGGACATCGCATGAAATCATGCTACGCGGGCTCTCGAATTTCAACGAGATCCTCGCGCTCGCCGAGAAATTTGACATTTTGCGCCGTCCGAGACCGGGGTCCTACTACGAACATCGTCCTCGGGGACCGACCGAGCACGCCACCGTACACGCCGTTGCGGCGAATGCAGCTGCTGTGCCATTTAAGGGGCGCTGCTTTGCTTGCAATAGGCCGGGCCATCGCAAGAGCGAATGCCCAGAGGAGCAGAGACGCCGCGAAGCGGAGCAGGGAAGGGAGTCTCAGAGGCAGGGAAACGCCAGCAGTCAGTAGAAAACGGGCCAACTACTGACGAGACAACCTGCTCGCCCAACCTCACCGACCCTCACCGAGTCACAGTACCAATTCACGCTATCGATCGGGCTCGGATGAATAAGGAGGGTACAGCGACGGATTGCCCAGTACTGATTCACGGGAAAATACAGGGAGCAGCAGTGAAGATTTGTATCGACGGAGTAGCAAGTCACAGCTTAGTTGATACCGCAACCGCACGGAAGCTGCAGCTGACACTTAGTCGGTGTTTACCGGAGATAGATGCACGCTTAGTCGACGGCACGCCGCTGGCCATACGGGAGAAGGTGGAAAGAGTAAAAGTCCGCTGCGGGGGGAACTTTGGGTTTACACAGGAAATGCTCGCGACGACACTGGATGGGCACGACATTTTACTGGGACGTGACTGGTTGCGACAGTATAATCCGCGAATCGACTGGACGACGGGTAACTGCACTGTGCGAAGCAGCGGTAACTGGGTCGTGCTACCTCGCTGGCAGTCGCCCGAGTCTTCAACGGTCCACGTCAACGCCATCACGATGAAACGGGCTGTCGCCGCTGGAGCTGACGTGTACGCAGTGGATATAGCATTGGTAGGAGAAGCAGAGCAGCCGAGCGATTTTCAGAAACTGTTGGCAGCGGTACCGTCCGAACTACAGGAACTGTTGAAACGGTACCCGGGGATTTTTCCTGACGATTTACCAGAGGGACTGCCACCTCAGCGGGCACATGACCACCGAATAGAGTTAGAACCGGGGGCACAGCCAACTGTACAGCGACAATTCCGACTGACACAGCCAGAGCTCGATGAACTGAGGAAGCAGTTAGATTACCTGTTAGAGAAAAAAATCATCCGACCGAGCTCGTCACCGTTCGCCGCACCGATACTGTTCACACCGAAAAAAGACGGAGGTTTTCGCATGTGTATCGACTACAGAGCACTGAACAGGGTAACAGTCAAGTCGCGATACCCCATTCCCTGAGCCGACGAACTGATAGATCAACTACGAACAGCACGGGTCTTTTCGAAAATTGACTTACGCGGAGGTTACCACCAGATTCGGGTCGAACCATCGGACTGCGTAAAAACGGCATTTAGAACTAGGTATGGGTCATTCGAGTACACCGTGATGCCATTCGGGCTGACCAACGCACCGGCGACATTTCAGATGACCATGAACGAGGCGTTTAGACCGCTCTTAGATAAATGCGTGATAGTTTACCTCGACGACATCCTAGTCTACAGTCGCGATAAGCAGCAGCACTTAGCAGATCTGGAAGCAGTGTTTAACGTTTTAGACGAGCACAGACTACTGACCAAGGGTTCCAAGTGCGAGTTCTTCCAGGATAGGTTAGAATTTTTGGGTCATGTTATTTCGGAGGCTGGAGTTGAGATCGACCCAAAGAAGCTGGACACGGTAAAAGCATGGCACCCCCCGACGAACATCACGGAGCTGCAAAGTTTTTTAGGGTTCGTTAATTATGTGCGTGGGTTCGTCCCCGACATGGCACGGTTAACCGCCCCGCTGACGGATTTACTACGGAAGGGGGTCGCTTTTACGTGGGGGGAGAAAGAGCATGCTGCCTTCTCTGCCCTTAAAAATCTTCTCTGTTCACCGCCCGTACTGCGCATCGCCGACCCACACCGCCCATTCGAAGTAGTTACAGACGCAAGCGATATCGCCATTGGAGCCGTACTGCTACAGGATTTCGGCAACGGTTTACAGCCCATCGCATACGAGTCACGAAAGCTGCATCCGCCCGAGAAGAATTACCCGATACACGACCGCGAAATGCTCGCGATCGTGCATGCATTCAAGGTCTGGCGCTGTTACTTGACCGGCGCAGACGTGACAGTACGGACAGACCACATATCACTACAGTACCTCCGCGCACAGCCCCACCTCAACCCACGACAGATCCGCTGGCTCGATTTCCTCGAGTCAAATTTCCACTACACGGTCACCTATAAGAAGGGAGCATCGAACATTGCCGACGCACTGACCCGCCCAACTGCCCAGATCCACGCCATACTACTCGCACAGACCAGCCCGCTACTGACAGGCCTATTTACCCACGAGTATTAGACAGACCCCTTCTTTACTGGAGGCAACTCGCAGCAGTTCGCAGCAGCAAAAGGGGTGTATTACGTAAAAGCCGGCACCAACCGCATCTGGGTACCGGGCTACACTTTACTAAGGGAACTGTTACTACAGGAGGCACACGACGGGGTTACCTCAGGACACTTCGGGGTAGAAAAAACACGGCAGCAGCTGCAACGGTATTACTACTGGCCCGAGATGCTGACCGACGTGCAACGACACGTGGCATCGTGTCCCACCTGCCAGCTCATGAAATCGTCACGACAACGACCGGCAGGACAGTTGCAGCCAATACCACCCCCAGAGCGTGCTTGGCAGCAGGTGACGATGGATTTCGTCACGGGGTTACCGGCTGGAGCAAGTGGGAACGACGCGATCCTGGTCGTCGTCGATCGGCTGACGAAGGTGGCACACTTCGCAGCCTGCAAGAAATCAATCACAGCCGAAGAAACAGCTCGCCTCTTCATCGCCACCATCGTTCGATTACACGGGATACCAGCGGCGATCATCAGCGACCGCGACACGAAATTTACCAGCAACTTCTGGCGGAACCTGTGGCAGCAGTTCGGCACGCGACTATAGTTCAGTTCATCATACCACCCCGAAACCGACGGACAGACAGAACGGACAAATCAGACCATGGAACAGCTCATCCGAGCCACGTGCGACGACCCGACCACGTGGGAACAGCAACTGCCATTCATCGAGTTCGCGTACAACAACTCGCCATCTGCCACGACCCAACAGTCACTGTTTTACCTGAACTACGGACAAGACCCCACAGTACCCATGACCCCGAATCCCGGCAACCCAGTCCCACGCGCGCAACAGTTCGCAGAAATACTGCAAGCAGCACGGACCCGAGCAGCAGAAGCAATAAAAAAATCAAACGTCATCGCTAAGCGCAACGCCGACCGACACCGCCGCCCCGTCACTTACCAACCCGACGACCTGG